TGAAAAAATTGATAAGATTGATGACAAGTTAAAGAAGTCAATTGCGGCTAAGCCGTTAAACTGACTTACTAAGAAAATAGAAGAAGATACTGCCAAAGAAGTTTTAAAGGGCAATTTAGGAGCAGTAGTTAATGCGATTAGAACTTATGCTTTTATGCTGATTTTGATTTGAGTTATTCTGTGGGCTTTGATTTGAACTATTCTTTACTATTTATCCTACTGAATAATTGGTAAATTTATCTGAAAGGAACCGATTTTAACAGAAAAAGAAATCTAATCAAAAAGTTTCGGGTCATCCAAACTATCTACTTTTCTTTTTAACTCATCTTTATTATAAAATTGATTACCAAATCTACCAGCCAATATTTTTATTTCTTTAATATCCTCATCGGTCATGGGAATGTTAAAATCTCCCTTGACTTTCCCAGCCGCTGTGCAATGGTAAATATTGATTTTTACTTTCGGACCTTTACAAGATATTATTAGTATTCATAAGGATTAAAAGAGATTCTGAAGAGATATATTTTCAGTGATTATTTATATTATTAATTTTAAAGTATTACACTATAAAGGACATTTTTATTCAACAATCTTATTAAATTAGATTATTCAAACTAATTATTCTCTAATTGAATTAACAGTTTCTTACAATCAGTTACTATCTGCTCATTTTTAGTTTTTTGGTTAAGATAAGCATTCCATTCCTTTTTCTTAAAATAGTCTTGTCATTCGGGATTAATAGTTCCATCTGAATTATGTTCGGGAACAGTTGGTGCCACTAACTCCGTAATGGTTCAATCAGATGGGATTTTTAGTCTTCATCTTTGTTCATGGAGAAATTGCTCAGATATAAAAGAAGAAGCTTGGTTAAGATGAAGTTCTAAGGCTTCCTTAATCAGTGCTTGGTTCGGTTTAAGAAAAGTTAGTTTAGTTATTTTGGTTTTTAATTCTTCTCAGGTTGCTAATACTGCTGGTTTAGTCATATTTTATTAACTAATTTACTATATTATTAATTTTAAAAAGGTAATTAGACTGAGAGTGGATTAGTAAAAATAATATTATACTCTGATGCCTAAACTTAAATCTAAGGTTAATGGTTCCCTAAGCCATTAAAAACCCATTGTTTTCAGTGTCAAAAGAATATCTTAGTTAAGTTTGTAATTCCTCGTTTCACTTACAGTAAAAAGAATGATTGATATCACTGAACCGATAAATCAGAAAACCAAGGTAAATACATTTGTGATACTTGTTTATTAAATCTTTATCGTAATGATAAACTTAGTTATTGAGGAGCAGTATCTGACCCGAAGAAAAGACAAGTTATTAGAACTTATATTCATGATGG